AAGACTAAAGGTTAAGAGGTAGGTGTTTGTGTTGACAATTTCATCATTTTCTTTACGGGTAAAACGTTTGACTGCCGTGACTCCTTGACAGTTTAGTTCCGCTGTGATGTCATCTTCGCTCATATCTGACAGACAACGAGCTCGATCTCTGATGATTCCTCGACATGAATTCAGTGTCTTGTGCACCGAGACAACAACATTTGTGTTAACAAAATGTTTCAAAGACAGTAGGTTAACGGATTGATGCTTCCGCGCACATTCCACAAGGATAGAGCCATTTCGGAGACTTGTGACATTTTTAACATCACCGCAGACACCTTTGATGCCCTTAGCAATGACAAATGGATTAAGCTTTCAGGGTCTTTCATCTTCAGAAGCAATGACGATAAATCTCGGCCAAGAATCAGAGACAGTTGTAGGGATTTCCTCGTCAGATGACGAACCATCAATATGACGACGTTTGTTCTTAGATGAACCAGAAGAAGTATTGAGAGGCATGGTGGAAGTAATATCATTCAACACCTCTGATCCCCACCCACCATGGAGTGTCAACATGGACGATGTTGTAACGGAAACCAATCAACAACACCAGGGCTACAGGGGTGTTATACTCCAGATATAAAAACATGAAAAGCTGTAAGGACTAAAAGAATAAATGCCAGGCTGGTTCGGCCCATGACACTTTTCCCAAGTAACACAGAATTCAGAGGTCAGTATATCCAGATTGGCCCATGAGCCACCGCCTACTGGCATAGGACTATATCATGAATAAGTTGAAAATGGGATAACCAATACCAAAATATTTTATCAAATATGTGCAATAATACTCACTATGCACAGGGGCCTGGCGTGACCAGCCGATTGATTGAACCGGGCCAGTTCAACCACCCGTCTAGGTGAAGTAAGGGGCAAAGTGGTGTGTTGGGCAAAGGAACACTGTTCCTGGAACCAGTGCCCTCAACCATCAGCCTCCCGTCCTCCACCGACACAGGGGCGCAACCCACGGCAAACGGGTTGGTGGACCTAATATCCCCCCGGGTCCACAACGGGGGATTGAAGGGCGCTTAGCGTGACCCAGCACCCACCACGAGAAGGTGGCCCTTCACGGGTGCCTGTGCATGTAAAACAAGACCTGTAAATAATCTCTTTCACTACTATGCTTCTATTATTCTTGTATACAGATCTAACCTCTCTGTATTTTGTGGGTAAAAATAAAAGCCTGAAAAGAGAAATAGAAATTATATGCAATTAGTTAATAAAAGTGGCTTGGATATGAAGTGTCTATGAAAGTTGGCTTTGAGTATAATCTAATACAGCAGGACGTTTTCATGTATTTATTGCTTATCCAAATCTTTTCTATTCAACAGCAATCTCCTACTGTCTGCTTGTGAGGTGAGGTGAGGAGAATATTTCGCTCATATGACGACGTGCATGCGTGTGCATGTGTAGGTGCGACTGCTTGTACTAGCCCAGACTGAAGCTGGTTTTATAGTGCTAGCCCACTGAGATACCAAGCCGCAGTGAAGCATGAATACCCCACTCAGACACATTACACTGACTCCGAGCCGGCTAGTCCTTGTTGTACCCATTAATGCCGAGTGTCACGCAGGGACCAAAAAGTACCATATTTTAACGTCTTTTGGTATGACGCGGTCGGGGATCGAACCCGCGACCTTCCGCTCTCCGGGCGGCCGCTCTAACCACTACACCACGGAGGTGTGATGTTGGGAATGTATTGGAGAGAGCAGCAAGTATTGATGGGCCAACATGTATTAAGGGTCCAATATGTTTCAGGGGCCAATGCGTATGGAGGTTCCTACATGTTTCAGGGGCCAATACGTATGGAGGTTCCAACATGTTTTGATGGGCCAACGTGTGTTAATGGTCCAACATGTTTCAGGGGCCTATATGTATGCAGGTTCTAACATGTTTCAGGGACCAATTCGTATGAAGGTTCCAACATGTTTTGATAGGCCAACGTGTATTGAGGGCCCAACATGTTTCAGGGACCTATATGTATGCAGGTTCTAACATGTTTCAGGGGCCAATTCGTATGGAGGTTCCAACATGTTTTGATGGGCCAACATGTATTAAGGGTTTAACATGTTTTAGGGGCCAATACGTATGGAGGTTCCATCATGTTTCAGGGGCCAATACGTATGCAGGTTCCAACCTGTTTTGATGGGCAGACATGTATTAAGGGTCCAACAAGTTTCAGGGGCCAATACGTATGGAGGTTCCAACATATTTTCAGGAGTCAATACGTATGGAGGTTCCAACATGTTTCATGGACCAATTCGTATGAAGGTTCCAACATGTTTCAGGGGCCAATACGTATGCAGGTTATAACATGTTTCAGGGGCCAATTCGTATGAAGGTTCCAACCTGTTTTGATGGGCCAACATGTATTAAGGGTCCAACAAGTTTCAGGGGCCAATACGTATGGAGGTTCCAACATATTTTCAGGAGCCAATACATATGGAGGTTCCAACATGTTTCAGGGACCAATTCGTATGAAGGTTCCAACATGTTTTGATGGGCCAACGTGTATTGAGGGCCCAACATGTTTCAGGGACCTATATGTATGCAGGTTCTAACATGTTTTAGGGGCCAATTCGTATGGAGGTTCCAACCTGTTTTGATGGGCCAACATATATTAAAGGTCCAACAAGTTTTAGGGGCCAATACGTATGGAGGTTCCAACATATTTTCAGGGACCAATACGTATGGAGGTTCCAACATGTTTCAGGGGCCAATACGCATGGAGGTTCCAACATATTTTAATGGGTCAACATGAATTAAGGGTCCAACGTGTTTCAGGGGCCAATACGTATGCAGGTTCCAACATGTTTCATGGGCCAATTCGTATGGAGGTTCCAACATGTTTCTATGGGCCAACATGTATTAAGGGTCCAAAATGTTTCTGGGGCCAATACGTATGGATGTTCCAACATGTTTTGATGGGACAAAATGAATTAAGGGTCCAACATGTTTCAGGGGCCCAAACGTATTGAGGTTCCAACATGTTTCAGGGGCCAATTCGTATGGAGGTTCCAACATGTTTTGATGGACCAATGTGTATTCAGCGTCCAACATGTTTCATCGGCCAATACGTATGCAGGTTCCAACATGTTTCATGGGCCAACACGTATGGAGGTTCCAACACGTTTTGATGGGCCAAAATGAATAAAGGGTCCAACATGTTTCAGGGGCCAAAACGTATTGAGGTTCCTACGTTTCAGGGGCCAATTCGTATGGAGGTTCCAACATGTTTTGATGGGCCAACGTGTATTAAGGGTCTAACATGTTTCAGGGGCCTATATGTATGCAGGTTCTAACATGTTTCAGGGGCCAATTCGTATGAAGGTTCTAACAGGTTTTGATGGGCCAACATGTATTAAGGGTCTAACATGTTTCTCGGGCCAATACGTATGGAGGTTCGAACATGTTTCAGGGGTCAATACGTATGCAGGTTATAACATGTTTCAGGAGCCAATTCGGATGGAGGTTCCAACATGTTTTGATGAGCCAACATGTATTAAGGGTCCAACAAGTTTCAGGGGCCAATACGTATGGAGGTTCCAACATGTTTTGATGGGCCAACATGTATTACGGATCTAACATTTTTCAGAGGCCAATACGTATGCACGTTCAAATATGCTTCAGGGGCCAATACGTATTGAGGTTCTAACATATTTGATGGGCCAATACGTATGGAGGTTCCAACATGATGGGTCAACATGAATTAAGCGTCCAACGTGTTTCAGGGGCCAATACGTATGCAGTATCTGGAGAGAAGAAAACAAGTTCAGAGTCACACGAGTTTCGCTGAGATGCACAGATGGCTTGGTAGATTATCAATGTGTCAGCCTCTTCATTCCCACACTGATTACTGCATTGACAAAGTTCAGTACATTATTGAATGTGGCGGCCATTTTGAAATCCAAGATGGCCGCCAATGGGATGATGGGAAAAATTGGAAACATTGTATTTAAATCAAGTGTATTTTGTTGGTTGGTTGTTATTGTTGTTGTTTTGGCTGGAGTTGTTGTGTAACGCTGACCTCGCTGACTCCGCTGACATGGTTGACACATGTCATCGGTTCCCAACTACGTAGATTGATGTTCGTGCAGTTGATTACTGGACAGTCCGGTCCAGACTCCATTATTTACAGACTGTCTCCACATAGCTGGAATAGTGTTGAGTGCGGAGTTAAACAACAAACAAACACAACCCAACTACATACTCCTGCTTTCCGATCCCAGCCATTCCCCGTTTATACACGTGTATTCCACTATACACTCACTTACTACATCGCATACACAGGGGGGACCTTATTGTGCTTGTTAATGGCCATGTCAGTTTTCCTCAACACCAGTTTAAAGAACTGAGCAAAGGTGTTCACGTGCACAATGCATTTTCATTTTACACATGTTATGTATAGGATTACGCGTTTTCCGTAAAGGACAGATTCTAGTACTTTTGACCAACTTTCTAAATGGCAATGGCTATTCATAGTTTTCGGCGGCAATAGCCATGCCAATTTCCACTTGTCAGAGGGTTACACAAAGTGTGTAGTCTAGACTATCAGTTGTCTGACTTTTTGTGAGCCGGGAATCTAAGCGAGTGATTATTGAGTGAGTCCGATTTTAGCAACTTTTCAGCAATATCACGCGGGGGACACTAGGAATGGGCTTCACACATTGTACCTATATGAGGAATCGTGCCCGGGTCTTCAGAGTAAGGACCGAACCCTTTAACCCTAGGCTACCCCACCGCCCCCTTGTGTGGGAACAAGATGGTTGGGAAAATGGTCATATTGAGTACCTTTTATACCTGTTTGTTTGCACATAACGATGAACGATACACACACATTAAACACGCTGTGTTTCATTCACCAGATATACGCCCCAACACCCCACATGTTGTTATGTGTCTCTACACATGAACAGCGTGGATGTGTAGTCAGGCAATAACAATGTAAACATGCACCGGATAGATTACACTTCAAGTATGTTAGTCACGTGTCATCGGCCGGAAGCGACCTTTGTACCACAGAGAAGGACGCTATTTGTCCAGGTAGGTGTGTTGTAACTGTCTCTCATCTCGCAGGCCAGTACACGGTTATCTGCCTGGTCCAACATTTGCTAGTATATGTCATGATGCCACGTTGTTACTGCTGGAGGTACAAATACAATATTTGTACAGTTTACAACCTGGTTATTTGTGATACGTAACAACATGAAATTTCTACTTTCGTTCTACGATGATGGCGAACTCACGCCCTGACACAGTGTTTTGTGTCACATTCTGGACAAACAAGCCTCTACCGTGTAGTGTTGGTTTAAAAGTACGTTATGTAAAAAAACGTACCAGCTTGCTCTGCAAAGATATCAAAAGCACGGAAAAGATCGATTATTGCAGAATAGTTATTGTGGTCGCGGTGAAAATACTGCCTTGCAATGGTATATGCTGCAGTTAAAAGAATGTGTGTGGATCTCTCACTATGCTGAGGCGATGACGTTGATATGCCGCGCGTCGCCCAGTATTTCGGGGACATAGAGATCACATGGAGGTGGGCTGGTAAAATGATACTCAGGGTGAGTTTTCTGTTTTAAATTTCTGCCTGGCCTCTCACTGAACAACACAAATGAACTGGCGTAAGTTCGGTCGTAATAGCCACACGTGCATGCGCGTGCGCGTTACAATGTATTACTTTTTATTGTTGTTCATTGGTGTGTGTGGGTTTTGTTTGTATGGGCTTTGTTGTTTTAGGGATTATGTTTGTTTGTTTGGTTGGTTGTTATTGTTGTTGTTTTGGCTGGGGTTGTTGCGTAACGTTGCCCTCCGTGATATTCCAGCTTTATGGCGCGGGTCTGTTAATAACCTGAGTCTGGACCAGACAATCCAGTGTACAACATCATGACTATCTATTTGGATCGGATGATATGTGTCAGCGAGCCTGACCAGCCGATCCCGTTAGTCGCCTCGTGCAGCAAACCTGGGTTGCTGAAAATCAATTCTAACCCGAATCTTTATGAGTTGTTGCTATCTATAAGTGCAATGCGTCTCTGGACATTTTTATTATATTTTAAGAACATAAATATAAAACCATTTTCATGCAAAATGAGTTAATGCCAGAGACTAGATGTTAGTCTAAACATAGTCTAACTCAACAACACATTGTGGTGAGGACACAGTGACATATCTTATTTAAAATAGTTGGACAAATGTACAATGCAATGTTGGGACCGATAAAATGGTTTAACTTTCTGGCAAAACATCAGGTATAAGCTTTTACCAAATGTAACGTAGGAGTTAAGGTACATTCCTCAATGGATGTTAAATATAAGTGAAAGAAATATGTCGATCAGGCCTTGCATGTCACCATAACCTCCTTTGATAAAAACTGATATTTTACTGTTGCGTCTCCGCGAAATCTATCTGTAGACGAGTACGTGAAATAATGATTGGTGTAACTACAGATTGCAAACCAGTGTTTAGGATTGTGTGAAACAAACGAAATTGTGCAAATGAACACGACAGATATTGGCCGGGTCCAAATATTTCTAGTTTCTGACAGAAAGGAGGATTTTAAAAGCTTTCTACTGTGGACAAAAATGTCTTGGGTCCCAATAAGCGATTTGACGTTCGGTGTAAATTAAACATCGAGATGCTTGTTAACTATTCTTTGGGTGACAACTTTATTTTGGTTTGCAAACTACCCATGTCACCATAAAGGGAAATAGGTACACCTACAGAATATCGGATACCTACCAGCCATACTGTTTAGTGTCACGTCACCCTAACGCTAAACATTACCCTAAACCTTACCCTCACCCTAACCAAAAGTAAACTCGCGTGCTTTCAAAGATGGCGGAAGGTATCCGGAATTCTGTAATCTTACTGGGAAATATCACAGAGATCCCTCATTAGAGTCTACTTTCTTTCAGAATGGACATCTTCCCAAAGTGCTCTGTCTGTCATCAGCAGTTTGTCCTCAAAGGCCCCGCCCCCTACCTACTGCCCTGTCTACATGCTGTGTGTGAGACGTGTGCGACATCTGCAGCTGGTGGTGTGATATCATGCTCTACATGTCAGACGGAGGTCAACCTCACAGACACAAGCCTCCAGAAAGATGCAGTGAGACAGAAGGAAATATTCCATCTCACAGTCCAACATCGCCCCACAGAGCTTCTCTGCACACACGAAGATGACGGCAACCAGGCTGTGTGTTGGTGTCGGGAGTGTGCAGAGCTCCTCTGTGAATACTGCCAGAATATGCACAGCGACTTCAAACTTACCAGAAAACATGTACTTCAAAACCTCAGCGACCTTAAACCAGCTGTCTCAAACATTCCAACCCCTTGCAGTATCCACAGCCATGACTCTCTTTATCTTTTTGATCGGAGATGCAACATTTTGATTTGTGGAAGATGCAGATTTGAAGATCACGCAGATCATGAAGTTGAGAAGGTAGATGTGGTAGCTGAAAGTATCCTCAAACAGATGGACCAACACAAAACTGGGCTGGCAACCTTACAAGCTCGCCAACAGTCCAACATTCAGAATATCAGACGAGGGACCGACATCACAGATACAACGCACAACACGTTGAAAGAAAATATTGGCCATACTTTTAGAACTCTGCGAGCACAACTTGACCAACGAGAGAAGGAACTTCTGACTGATCTTGAAGGTCAGACGAAGGCGGCCAAGACAAGTCTCCGTACTCAGCTAAACACATGTGAAGAAGCTTCGAAGAAATGCTCTGAGGTTTTAGACTACGTCACCAAGGTTATCACGTATGCCTCACAATCAGACCTCCTGGAGTTGGAGAGTTCTGTAAGGGAGGCAGCTAGGGCTTTCCTTGACACTGTTGAGACTCAAACACAGGACATACCCGCAGCTGTCTTTAACACCAACGGCTTGTCAAAGCTGAAATCAAACATATCACGATTTGGGGCTGTCGTGACCAAGGACATGGAAAAACAATATGCAAGAGGTATTTATATGATCCTTTTTATTGCGTGTAGGAGTGGAACAGCATTCTATAGTGCTTACAGATGCACTATTCTTATGGATACACAATGCCATTCAGAAAGTGATCAGAGTTGATTTTTTATTGCGTGTAGAAATGGAACAGCGTTCTATAGTGTTCTGTTGTATTTGGGACTACACGTTCTCAGTTAATTACAGATTCTTTGACTGTTTTGGGTCTAGAATCCGTAATTTACTAAGAAGCGTCCTTCAAACTGACATTGTCTATTTATAGCTGTCGACTATGTGGGCGGTGTCAATTCACATTTGTCAGAGGGATACACAAAGTACATGATGTAGTCTACCAGTTGTCAGACTTCAATTTCTATGGAAACCACTGTGGCTGAGTAGGTTAGATCGCTGACTTTATGTGATCGGGTGCCTGACTCTGAGAGTGTTGGTTCAAATCACGGCTGCACTCAACCTAACAAAAAGTACTAGAATTTGTACTTTACGGAGAAAGTGTAATCCCAAATATAACATGTGACACATCATTCTCAGCAACTCGAGTTTTTTGCTCGAAAAACAACTAATATTATACTTAAAGCACCGGTAGTTATTGACACTATGCCATTGTCTAGCCAGGCGAGTTGTATAAGATACTTAAAAAACACGCACTTAATAAACAGTAACAGTTGCTCATAATATGTTGGAATTTTACAGTCGAGATTTCTTATGGATGTCCTATTATTGCTGATGGGGCGTAAAGCACCAATTATTCATTCATTCTTAAGGGTGTATTTACATCATGGTGTTGTTTCAGACAAGGAAACTCAAACTGAACATGACTTCATAGCTGAAATGGAAATCAAATATAAGAACGTGAGTTTGGTAATTAAAATAATATAATGCACCGTAACCGCTAAAGAAGAGCGTATGAGATAGTATGTATGACTACAAAGAATTAAATGTACTAAAACCAATTAAAATGTAAGACAACGATCTAAAACATTTTGAATCCGTTTGCAGAAGTACATGTCCATAATTACCTATCTAATGTCTACAGCACATCGCTCGCCGCGAATAGCTGTAATATTGCTGATGCGGGTGTTAAGGAATAATTATTCATTCATTCATTCATTCATTCATTGATTCAGCACATCGGAAAACAGAAGAGGATCAGTGACTGAGACAAAACCAAAATCGAAATACATGCAAGCTATATCAGAATTAACAAACTGAGACTGATATGCTTTTTAAACATTCACTTTATTAAAAAGAGGTACAAGGTAACTTCAGTCATTTTAGGTCACGCTCAAGATCCGGGTTCGATTCCCCACATGGGTACAATGTGTGAAACCAATTTCTGGTGTCGTCCGTCGTTATATTGCTGGAATATTGCTAAAAAAATGTGTAAAGCTTAACTCACTGACTCACTCATTCAGTTATTTTGGAGGTATTCGTTGACAACGAAGTTGGGACAATTTATAGATAACACTTTTATAGTGACTACACATCGTAGGCCGTTATAAGGTTGTCAGACTATTGTAAAGCAATCCAGAAACAACGCTGTGCCAGTAGATAAAATATACGGCATATTCGGTACATTGTATGTTTTTTCCGAGTTAAGTTTAAAATATTTAGATATTTGTACATACCTATCGCCTACCTCCCCATATGTCCCGACATACATACTTACAGACAATTAAGTCTGATTAAGGGTTATCTTTTCAGAGCATCGATGAGAACGAAAACATCGTGAAGAGAGCCTCAGAAACCACACATTTCTTGCTTGGTAAAGTCCAGTCACCTTTGTTCCTTTACTTTCTTCGTTCAGATAACTGAGTCCAGGTTTTAACACTTAAATGTTGGCCTATGTGTTGAGTTTAAATATTGACATTCACTACAAGATATGAATATGTTGTTTTATCAAAGTGATGGCAATGTTGATGTTGCAGGGTTGCTCAGTGAATGCGATGTTCACCTGCTGAAACCAGACGCCTTGGACAAGTCGATGGTGCTAAATTGTACGTTCATAATCTACCCATTTACCATCTTTGCTTACACTACAGCCTCTGAACCTATTGTCACATCATGGAGGTGATTTGGGGGGCTTGGCTACATTAGCCACCCAGTGTATTCTGTAGTAGAATGTTTTGGAACAACTGCTTGGCTAATGATCGACGTACAAAGTGTTTGTTTGTTTGTTGTTTAACGGCGCAATCGGCAATATTCCAGCAATATGGCGGCGGCCTGGACCAGACAATCAAGAAATGGACAGCATGAGCAATTGTGATACGATGACATGTGGCAACCAAGCGAGCCTGACCACCCGATTCCGTTAGTTTTCTCTTACGACAAGCATAGTTTGCTGAACATAAATCCTGACCCCAATGTCAATGCTGACTATATTTGGGATACAGCAACATTTTCCTAGAGGGAATTTGTCTTCTGAATCGGTGACACCTGATTAGTGTTTGCTGGACTGGTCACTTATTGTACCTTCTTTCAGAATGTTACACTCAGTAGATACGATGTTTATGTGACAGGGCGTGAAATGATATACATATGACATTTTCGCTTTGTCAGCTTCCTGTAGCCATGTGGACGAGCCATCCGACTTCCAAGCAAAAGGTCCATGGTTTGAATCCCATCACGGGATACGGTAGTTTCATGGCCTGTACATAACAATCAGTGATCAAAACTGACCTTTACGTTGTTGTGTTTTTTATCATTTGTTCTTAAGATTATCTTTTACTCGTTTGTTTGTTGTTTAACGTTGCATTCAGCAATATTCCATATTATTCAGACAACCCAGTGATTGACAACATGAGCATCTAATCCACGTTTATGTGTTGTAGGTATACATCTGAAGTATGACACAGATAGAATTAACCTTAACCGCACCCACATCAACACAGAGGGAGACTTGATCAACAGCAAGTCTGACACCAGGTCTGCAGGAAAGAGACTGACAAACTACGGGGGCACGTGCAGTACTATCCCCTCCCCTTGGCTGATTGTCCACAGTACTGGGGAGACGGAGACCAGGGTCGGACTGGACAAAACACTCACAGGAGCAAACTCATCCTGGAGGTTGGTGTCTGTGCTGAGGGAGAGAGGGACATGACTTACTACGTAGCCCGTCGTCCTCATGCCTACAGTTTGACCGTCGGCCAGTGTAATACTCATGAAGGGATATGCATGATAACCTGGAAGGAGGGAAAGGTTGTGTTACATCTACCTGACACCATCCCTAACACAGCAGGGGCATCACACACACTACACTACGGTGTTGTCTATGATGACGCCAGGAAGAAGATTATCTTCATTGATGTGAAGGAGAATAAGGTGATGTCGGCGTTAAACAATGTAGACTCCAGTCAGCCCTTGTGGCCGATGTTCGGGGTGCATGATGTATATAAAGACACTGTCAGCATGAGACTTGTAGTGGGCAGCGACATCAACGTGACTGAGGAGAAAAAGGCGACGATTGTCGAAGCACTGTCATGAAATCGTGTTATGACATCGGCGGCCATGGTGGTGAGTAGGAACACACGGAGATATGTTCCAACGATATCAACATGACGGGGGAGAAGAAAGCTCTAGTTATAAGACACTGTCATGATACCATGTTATGACACCAGCGGCCACTGTCATTAGTAGGAACACACGGAGATATGTACCAACGATATCAACATGACGGGGGAGAAGAAAGCTCTAGTTATAAGACACTGTCATAATGCCATGTTATGACACCGGCGGCCATGGTGGTGAGTAGGAACACACAGAGATATGTACCTACGATATCAACATGACGGAAGAGAAGAAAGCTCTAGTTATAAGACACTGTCATGATGCTATGTTATGACACCGGCAGCCATGGTCCTGAGTAGGAACACACGGAGATATGTACCAACGATATCAACATGACGGGGAAGACGAAAACTCTAGTAATAAGACACTGTCATGATGCCATGTTTTGACACTGGCGGCCACTGTCGTGAGTAGCAACACACGGAGATATGTACCAACGATATCAACATGACGGGGGAGAAGAAAGCTCTAGTTATAAGACACTGTCATGATGCCATGTTATGACACCGGTGGCCATGGTGGTGAGTAGGAACACACAGAGATATGTACCAACGATATCAACATGAAGGGGGAGAAGAAAGCTCTATTTAAAAGACACTGCCATGATGCCATGTTATGAAACCGGCGCCCATGGTCCTGAAGATCAACACAAAGCGTTGTGGACAGCGCCATAATGGCAGAGAAGAAAGTTCTGGTTATTTTATGATGATGGTACTTCAGACAGAATGACAGACAGACAGACACTAGTCTATATCCTGTCTAAGCAAGATGCTCCTCCCTGATTACTACTAATCTCCTTATCGTGTTGCTGGCAGAACTTGAAATGTTTGTATTATAGTAGCTTTCTACACATTGTTAACTTAGAGGACACGGAGTCCAGCCATTCTGTACACATTGTTAACGTAAAGGACACTGAGTCCAGCCATACTGTACACATTGTTAACGTAGACGACACTAGAGTCCAGCCATACTGTACACATTATGTATATCTTGATATAAGCATATAAACACGCATAAACACGCTGTAAACACGCTGTAAAACAAGTTATGAACGTGAATTTGTTAGTGGCATTCACTATATCTGGACTTAGATGATGTCTGTGATGTAAAACAATGTAAAACAAGACCTGTAAATAATCTCTTTCACTACTACGCTTATATTATTCCTGTATACACATCGAACCTCTCTGTATTTTGTGGGTAAAAATAAAAGCCTGAAAAGAGAAATAGAAATTATATGCAATTAGTTAATAAAAGTGGCTTGGATATGAAGAGTCTATGAAAGTTGGCTTTGAGTATAATCTAATACAGCAGGACGTTTTCATGTATTTATTGCTTATCCACATCTACTATTCAGCAGCAATCTCCTACTGTCTGCTTGTGTGATGTTGGGAATGTATTGAAGAGAGCAGCATGTACTGATGGGTCCAACATGTTTCAGGGGCCAATACGTATGGAGGTTCCAACATGTTTCAGGGGCCCATACGTATGGAGGTTCCAACATGTTTTGAGGGGTCAACATGTTTCAGGAGCCAATATGTATGAAGGCTTCAGCATGTTTTGAGAGGCCAATATGTATAGAGGCTCCAAAATGTTTTAGGTACCAACAAGTTTTGATGCTCCAATATGCTTTGAGGGGCCAATGAATGAATGAATGACTGAATGACTGACTGACTGAATGAATGAATGCATGTGCTTTATTTCCTCCATTAAGACGGAGAGTACATATATGAAAACATCTTAGGATATAATATTAAACATATTTACATATTCAAACATAGTCTCTGGCATAGCCTCTGACATAATCTCAGCTTCAGATACAGCAGGGCTTTGAGGTTCCAGGAGCTGATGTTTTTTGCTGTAATGTCAATAAATACAGCCCACTCATTCAGTGACATATTTTCAATGAGTGGTGTGATTCAGTCTTTCACTCAGGCGCGTGTCACTGCAAATCAAATTACACATATATCTCAATAATGACCACGGCAAGTTCCTCAAAACGAGGAGCGGGAAGTCTAGTGGTTCAATCGTCACACCATAGATCGATTACCTACATGGGAACAATGTGTGGAGCTTATTTCCGGTGTCCTCCGTTGGAATATTGCTAAAAGAGGCATAAACCCAAATTCAGATTAACATCTCACGCAACTGTGATAAAACATCTTAGTTAACCAACTCCCAGTTTTACACACAGCAACAACTGAGACGACTTAGCTGGGAAAGTCTCATTTTAAAACATGATACATATAAATATGTATAGATCTGAATTTAGATACCATTGTTTTACCTATTACGTATCGAACTATCATTCCTGTTTGTAGTTGAGTACAATAAATCAAACAGAAACTCATGTGCTTCAATTAACCTGGTTACTGAAAGAGTAACTAACATGTGGTATCAAATTAAAATGTTCTGAACATAACAAAAAGCAAATGAAATTATTTAAAAATATACATCGGTCATGAAAACACTCACCAGACGAAATTCGAAGAACACACTTTGCAATAATTACACAGGCCTCTTTCTTGCTTGTCTAACCCTTAATTCAGAAATTTTCCAGCCACATGGCAGCGTTCTGAAATCAAGTTTGAATCGGACGATCTAGTGATTGACACCATGAACACTTACTTGAGCAGCCTGGCGATTCCATTGCAGCCAAACTGTACGGCGACGGGTCATGGCCTGCTCCAACAGCATTCCAACAGGTATGAGCCTATTCAGGCTGACAGATGCACCATAGCATGTTACTGTTGACTTCTGGACTGCCACCGTGACGGATATTGTGTTGTGTACCCAGATGCATCCCGTGATAATGTTGCACGCATATTTATGCTATCTGTGAACCAAAGCTGGTGTTCCTGTTGCATTTCTACAATTAGTTCAGTATCATTTGAGAACATTTGGAATCCACATTCCTATAAATATAGTTTGGCCTGGCTGAATGTTTTTGCTCGTCATGTGTATATCTATATTTATATTCTGTACAAAAGAAATGTTAAATGATCAGAGCCATTATTTGGATGACGTCAGGGTATAATTAACATATCATCTGTGAGTCTTGTTTGTATAGGACGGGAATTGATATAGATCTTCAAGTGCTGAGCCCAGAGTAACTCCTGTAGATTCAACACTGGCGTCTCACGGTAACAGTCATCCACCCATCATTGATTGTGCATAAAACAAAGATATGTACTAGTATATTGTGATGAAGCGTAAAATATAAAGGTAAATACATGAAATACAGGTAAATACAGGTAAACTATTACGTCATCCTATCCCGGATATTGACATCATCCAATTACGTCACAAAATAATACAAATACATATGGTGTTCTTATTTACAATGCATGTTTAATTTGACAACTTAGTTATGAAAATTTATTGCGATTTCTGTGGTCTCTATTTCAATAGGAGAATCCATATCGATGTATTACGACATTACAACAACAGAAGCGGCATCCATGACTATTTTTAGGACATTAAAAGAACATAAGTATGGTCCACGTCAATGTATTAGGACATTCAAACAATGTACAAACAGCATGCATGACAATGTATCAGGACATTAAACCAACAGACGCTATGTATTAGGACATTCAAACAATGTACAAACAGCATGCATGGCAATGTATCAGGACATTAAACCAACAGACGCTGTGTGACATTCAAACAATGTACAAACAGCATGCATGACAATGTATCAGGACATTAAACCAAAGGAACGCTATCTATTCGGACATTCAAACAACCTAAATCGCATCCATGACAATGAATTAGGACATTAAAATCACAAAAGCGACATCCAGGACAATGGAGATTAGCGTCTCACAGTAACAGTCATCCATCACTCGTTGATTTTGCATATACATGATATACAGTGTATTGTGATGAAGCGTAAACTATGACTGACTGAGTATGGTGTTACGCCGTTTTTTGCAATATTCCAGCAATACCACGGCGGGGAACATCAGAAATGAGTTTTCACAAATTGTACCCTTGTCGGGAATCGAACCCGGGCCTTCGGCGTGAGGAGCGAACACTTTAACCACTAGGTTACCCCACCGCCCGCGTAAACTATGAAGGTAAATATATGAACAACAGGTTGTACGCCACCCTATCCCTTATACAGTCAAATCCCGATGAGTCGAATCGCTGTATTTGAGACATAGGTATGTCTATGAGGGTAGAAAAAAAAGACGATTGAATATTGAACAATTCCTTTATTCAGCACATCATATCTAAATATAGCACAACAATACATTAGGTGACATAGATAATGGATAATAAAGGATAATGGAAACAAACAGTATACAAATGAGAACACATTTCAATACTAGCACAATAAAATGCAAAATACATGTACATTTACCTCTTAAAATCCATGAACAAAATCTATCGGCAATCGATAGATATACTTGTACATGCCGCCATCTTGAATCTTATTAATACAAAAAGATGAACTCACTTCTGGAAAAAGTCTGATATTAATGTTTGTTTCTGTGAATTTCCCTTACATTTATATTGACATGTATA